GCCCGAACGATCCGTACAGAGTTTTGGAACTCGATTATTGGATTCTATCCAGTGAAGGCGAATTTCGAAAAGGGACCGCGAACGATTTGTAGGAATTTAAGTTTAAAGGTCTAGCTTGTATTGGAACTTCCCGAAAGCACACATACCAGTGGTTTCGTCCTTTTTTCTCGATTCTGGCCACGTAAAACTTCCTTCAGCTTGCGGCAAACTAAGTTATGTTTTATCAAAATGTTAAACGGAAGTAATTTCGCACTTATCAGTGCTTAGCAGATAAAAGGCAATTAGAGGATCTTTCACTCAAAGTAACTAGGCAAATATCTATATTTACAAGTACTCCTTAGATTGACTCATAATAATACGTTTACAAGCCCCATAACGACTAATGTTTGCCCACTCTGAGCATCGATGTCATACTTGTTGTATGCAAACCGTTCGAGAAGTTGATAACGGGCTACTTTCCTCAAAGGCAGACTTCCTATTAACTTTCAGTAAGCGTAAAAAGATGGAATGCTTGTTGTAAATAGGTCAGGTCTGGGATCTCAGCAGTTTGAAATGGATCTAAGGCGGAGAAAGCAGGCATACAAGCAAGAATAAAGAAATATCATTTCATACTCAGGTACGTTGATCTATATAGTTGTTAAGAAATGTCATGCTGAGTTGACGGTAAGCGCGAAGGCAAGTTCTAACCCAAGAGCACTGAACCTACAAATCCGACTGAAATAATGCCCAATTTCGACAGGGCAAGTGCTTAAACGTAATAGAATTCGAATACCAGCGATTACCCACAGTGAAAAATACCACGGGAAGTAGAGGCCAAATTTAAGGCAGGACGAGAGGCGGGGCAAAATATCTACCCAACAGAACGGTCTAACGAATGTGTAGACACACCTAATGCCCGAAAATTGTTAAAACCTGATGGAGAAGATGAACAAGACCGACTGCATTCCTTGAAGGAGTAGCTTATTTATCGAAGTATTTGGAGTGATTAATTATGGCTGAGGGTGACGGAGGTTAAAACCTATTATTTGCTGTTCGGACTTTTCTTTTCACTATTGCATTGACAAAAAAATACTATTTCTGAGAAAGTGTCTCCTTAAATAAGAAGTTATTTCCTCCCCGATTGTCTTCATAAGAACGGTGCTGGAAGGTGAAAATGATTTAAGTTCAGTGACGCTTTGAAGGAAATCTGGCCATATAAGGAGTATAATTAAAGAGGGCAGTCAAAAAGCCTGATTGTTTGACAGACAAAACGCTAATTTGTACACCAGGACGTCCAAAGTAAAGGTCAAGTTTAGACGCTTGGCTACTAGATGGTTAGGACATCCCGGTTGGAGATTGAATGCACAGAAGATAAACGAATGCTCAACCACTGCAGTCTTGTTTGCTCTCATCACTGAGGAACTTTATGTATTCGGTTTCGTCCATGAGTCCTTCGATTTCAACAGGATTGGTGATTTCAACCTTGAAGAGCCATCCTAGTAGCATGTGGAGGAAACATTTAATTGGCAAGAGTCTGGCAGAAACTAGAGTATCTTCAATGTCAAAATTAGCTTCACTTTGTTGGCTACAGGTTTCAGTGGCATACCCAAACACTTTCTTTCAAAACAGGCAATACAGTATCGGGTATTTTACCACAAAGAATTTGAAACATGGGTCATGACTTCGTCCAGACAGCGTCAACTGCTAGTCATATAAATTAAGGGTGAATTCAAAAAGCATAAAAACAGGAAATTAATTAGAGATCCTGGCTGCCAAAATCATGGATTAGCAACTGATAAATACCTCAAAGGTATTTCAAACTTTAACGTTCATTTAACTATAAAACAAACAACGAATAGAACTGGCCATGTTTTTTT